GGCTACTGGGCTGCCATGGGTTCAGTGGAGCTGCTGCGTCTTTTATTTACTCAGGAAAGTTAGGCCAGCTTCTGCAATGGCAGCTGCCCCTCCCCACCGGGCTGAATTGTTCCTGGTTTCTCTCTAGTACGGAAACTCTGGCGTGAGAGTGTTTTTCTTCAGTCTGCTGGGCTTTGTCAAATGGCAAGAGGACCCGTCCTGCTATATGGGCTGTTTCCCTGTTTTCAGTTCCCCTTCCTTCTGGGGGGAGGGTAGATCTGGCCAGCTGGCTTTCTTGCTTTCACGTCAGCCAGTGCTTCCGCCTAGATCGATGCCCCAGTGCTGGCCAAAGTTGCTGTTCTGCCCTGTTCTGGCAGCTCTCTGAGGCTTTTAGCCCAGGGAAGATCTGTTCTGTGGGTTGCTGAGGGCTTGGGTGGAGCGCTATATCCTAACTGAAGTTCCAGAGTGGGAGATTCCCCAGTCCTCCGGTCTGTTGCACACACCTCCTGGGTAGGGCAGTACCCTGCTTGGTCTCAACTTGCCCTATTTGGCTTATACCCACTGTCCAACCAGACCCACAAAATGAACCTGGTACCTCATTTGGAATTGTGGAGAGCACTCAGTTTCTGCGTCTCTCTTCTTGGGAGCTGCTTTCCAGAGCTGCCTCTTATTCAGCCATCTTGGGATCCCCAAAATATTTTTTAGCACAAAGTATGGCAACATTTGGAATACAGTTTGTTAATAGTTGGAAATCACAGACATTTTAGAATTTTGTAAAACCACAGAGATTTTAGAATTGTCTAAGGATGACTGTTATGAAATAAAATTTTAGATGTCAACCCAAAATAGATAAATACATAAGAAAACATGTCCTTTTAAAACATCGAATTTTGAAAGAGGGGGAATAACAAGGAGATGATTAATGGGGTTAAAAAATACAGTTAGAAAGAAAATGATCTAGTGTTTGGTATCACAATAGGGTGTCTACAGCTCATAATAATTTATTATATATTTCATGATAACTAAAGGAGTGGAATTGAAATGTTCCCAACACAAAGAAATGACAAATGCTTGAGATGATGGATATCCCAATGACCCTGATGTGATTATTACACACTGTGTACTCAAATAAATTTATCGCATGCACCTTAAAAATATATACAACTATTTTGTCTCCATAATGATTTAAACTTCTAAAAATATCAAATTTCAATGACATAAAATTAAAGTTCCCCATTTCTATTTAACCTTTAATTTTAATATGAATGCATTTAATGAAATACTCAAGAGGCTACATATCCTAAGGGACTCACATTTATCCAACTTCATGATCCTAAGAGTTATGTGATTAAGCAGCCTCAATTCTAGTTATACCACCTAAGTACCTAACCTCTCTGTTTATTTAATATGTATTTGACTATTCAAGTATATTTTCTGCTACTGAATTTTAAATAAGCCTCCAATCCCTCCTCTAAAATGTACATGCACATTGCTTTGAGTTAAATTGGGGATTTGTTGAGCAGAAACCATCCAACCATTCATCTGTTCATTTACTCAACAAAAAGTTCCTGAGCACTTATTATAAGATACTGCATATAAGAGAAGGCAGAACGGAGAGATAAAAAGAACATAGACGTTGGGATCACACAGATATAAGCTTGAGTTTAGCCCTCAACTTATTATAGGTGGTAAAACCTTTCTCAGACTCAATTTCCTCATCTTTAAAGTGATGATTAATTTAATTAATGTTCTAACAGAACTCAATAATTAATGTTAAATTATTTTATTCCTGCCTATTTGAAAGTTAAGTAAATTTATCAGACAAGAATTCTGTGTTTTAGGAGTTAACAGCAGATATTGCAATGTATGTAAATAATGTGAAAAATTACAAGGCATAAATTTCCAGTGACAAAATAAGTGAAATGATTTATACTAGATATAGAACATAGTATCATCATTATTGCCAAATAGATATAGCATTTATATAGTTAACCACTGAGATAAATAACTATCAATTAACACTAATTCTCTTCCAAAACATTAGTGTTCCAAAGTATTAACTTTGGGAAATAATCAGAGGACTTGTACTTTATATAACCAATGATACATACACATTCACACACACTATATTGAAATGCTTCAAAGAGTAAATGTGCAATGTTACAATGCTAATTTAGAATTACAGAAATTGCTTACTTTTTTTCTTTTGCTGAACTGTATTTTCTAAATGTTTCTCCAATAAATTTTATAACTTTCCTAATAATAAAAGGGCTATTAAATAAAGTGACAAAACATACATAGGTTGGGTGTTATTATTTAAATGGGGCAAAAAAAAAAGTTTCCCAAAGGTTCTAAATTGGAACCTAGTCCCCTCACACCAACTCAGTCTTCCCACCACAGCAGAGATATCTACTGGGGCACCCCATCCAATTGGAAGTATCTAACTGCATCACTGCTAGCACTTTTCTAGCATTCTGCCTGCTCTTAAGACTAGAAAAGCAACATTTTGAACAGCAATGCTCATCATATAAAGTTTCCTCCAAACAGTATTGAATAACCAAACTCACAGAGTCAGAAAACCATCATCTACGGATTTATATTTCATTTTACTCCGCCTCCTATGTAGTAGCCAAAAGTCTGAAGACAACATGTATTGACTTACCGTGTTTCATGTTAGACACTAATCGGCACTGGCTTTTGACTTCACAACTACCCCATGAAGTGCACATGGTTAACTCCACTTAATAAATGAGGATACTGAGTTGGGCTTAGTTGCCCATGGTCACATGTGACAGAGCTAGGATTTTAACTCCGGATGGCCTAATGTCAAAATCCATTTACTTTCCAATATATCACATAAACCTCTTCAAAATATGCTCGGTATCAACTCCCCATTTTGTTTTCCAGTATTTGCTAATGGACTAAATAAAGTAATTGTTGCTAATATGGAAATGAGCTAGTCAGGTTATAGTGAAAAAAATACAAGACATGAAGATCTCCTCCACCCCATCCATGACTCCTCCTACTTCCTTTCTTTTCTTTCCTATATATCACTTGCCATCTCTAAAATTAATTTGTTTTATGACTGTGTCTATTTTGTTCATGGTTTTACCTCCAGTACTTAAAGCAGAGCCTGACTTCACATAAGAGTTTAATAAATACTTAGTAGCTGAATACATGTATTCATGAGAACATGCGTAAATTCTTCTTTTTACTCGTTAAGTGTCTCTTGACAAATCTACTAGCCTCTCCGCTTTTAAATCTCCATTTTTTAATGCAATACCACCTAAGGTTGTTATAAGTTTAAATTTAATTCACTCAAAAACTGCCCACGGAGCACCTACTACATGCTAGTTACTATTCTAAGCAATGTGATCATAGCAGGGAACAAAACAGACAAAAATCTCTCATGCACCTTACAGTCTGGTAAGTAAAAAAATAAGAATGCAACACAATGTATTCAATAGCAATAAGTGGTCTAGAGACAAGAATTGAGTTTGCAGATAGGAATCTGAGAGGAGGATCTGCAATTTTAAGCAGGGTAACAGGAAAGGAAGATATATGAGTAAGGAAGTGAGGGATGTGTAAACTGGGGAAAGAACTTTCCATGCAGAGCGAATAGCATGGTGGCATGACTGTATTTTCAGAATGGCTGCAATGCAGTGAGTGAGTCCAAGAGTAATAGGAAATGAGGTCAGATAAAGGAGGGGGCAGGCAAGGATTGTGTAAGACCCTGCAGGCCATAGTTAGGATACTGGCTTTTGTTCTTAGAAAAATTAAAAGCTAATACGAAGGTTTGAGCTTAAGTGGGAAGTCAAGTGATTTGGATTTTAATTGGTTCAATATTTCTCAATGAGGTTATCACTGGCATTCTGAGTGGATGGCTCCTCTTTGTCCCCACCATCAAGCATATGGCAGGCCATTTAGTGTCTCTAAACTGGGCCCACGAAATGCCAGTTGTACTCCCCAGGTCTTCTGACAACCAAAAATGTCCCTATTTATTTCCAGGGCTATGTTAAGAATAGGCTTAAAGTAGGTCAGGGTAGAGTCTATTTTAATATTCCAGGAGAGAGTTTATATTATCTTGGGCCAGAGTAGCTGTGGTGAACGTGGATTGTTTTCTTTTTTCTGCACTGAGGTTTTGCCAATGGACGGACAGGGGTATGAGTGAAAGCTAGGAGTCAAGGATGACTCCCACATGTTTAAAATGAGCAAATAGTAGGATGGAATTACTATTCACTGAAACAGTGAAGACTGAATGGGGATGGAGCAAATTTCATGAAAAAAGCAGGCGCTCATCAAGGCACAAAACAAACTACCATGTAAAAGCAGACATATCTAAGTTTCATCCAAGAAATTCGTGAAATAAGGGAATAGGAACTAGTTCTGAACTCTAAGATTTTGTTAGAGCATGTTTTGGGAGTGGATAGGATTAACAGAAATAAACATTAAATAAATAAGCGAGTAAGTGATTACTGATAACTAGTTGTAATATATTAGGTCTTTCCAAGCAATTAGATTATGTTAAGAAACATTTTTAAAAAATATAATCCAAAGCACTGAGTCTAACTGTGGGATTTCAAACAATACATGGTAAGGTGGTAGACAGGCCTTTAATGCTGTTAAAATCACACTGTGCCCATATTGCTTGGAATAGACACCCTACAGTGAGACTAAAGCTGAACCTTGGGAAAACAGTGGGTGATACGACTGTCCGGCACTCCATACTGACTAAGCATCACCACTTTCAACACTGCAGAGTCAACTGGTCAATATATGTGACCTTTTCTCTATTCATGGGTAATTTCAGAATTTCAGATGAAAAGCCATGCCCAGATATTGTTTAGATGCTTTTTCATGTGTAGAGTTGACTCATCCTTCCAGACAGACGAAATTATTCAAATGAACACAATAAACTGATTGATACAAACACACAATTTAGAGTTGTTAGGAGGAAGTGTCCGACTGCATCACTATTAGAACATTTTCCAGCATTCTGCCTGCTCTTAAGAATAGAAAAGCAGCACTTTGAACAGCAATGCTCATCATATAAACGTGAGGTTTCCTCCAAAAGGTATTGAATAACCAAACTCATAAAGTCAGAAAACTACCATTATCTTTGGATTTACATCACATTCATGAGCACTGTATCTCAAGATTTCCTATTAATATCCATAATGAGTAGACACAAGTGAAGTATTTACATTCCAAAAGTCGTCCCAGGCCTGGTGCAGTGGCTCACTCCTGTAATCCCAGCACTTTGTGAAGGTGCTCACTCTCTCTTTACACAGCATTCTCTGATCTTCTAGCTTTTTTCTGTTTAGTGTGTTGAATTCTCTGAATGCCTCCCCTGGGTGAAATTTTGCTTATTGAATTAGGAGGTCATTGGATAAAAGAAATTAGCTAAGGCAGGAGGACTGCTTGAGGCCAGCAATTTGAGGCCAGCCTGAGCAATACAGCAAGACCATGTTTATAATGAAAAATTTTAAAATTAGCCAGGCGTGTTGGCATTTGGCTGTAGTCCCAGCTACTTTTCCCAGCTACTCTGGAGGCTGAGGTGGGAGGATCACTTGAGTCCAGGAGGTCGAGGCTGCAGTGAGCTATGCTCACACCGCTGCACTCTAGCCCAGGCAACACAGAGTCAGACCAAATCTCAAAAAAAAAAAAAAAAAAAAAAAAAAAAAAAAAAAAAAAAAACCATAACAACAACAACAAAATCATACACACATGAAAGCTTTGCTTCCTTTAGAAAATGTCATCATTGGCTGGGTGCGATGGCTCACGCCTATAATCTCAGCACTTTGGGAGGCTGAGGCGGATGGGTCACCTAAGGTCAAGAATTTGAGACCAGCCTGAGAAACATGGAGAAACCTCGTCTCTACTAAAAATACAAAATTGGCCAGGTGTGGTGGCGCATGCCTGTAATCCCAGCTACTCAGGAAGCTGAGGTAAGAGAATCACTTGGACCTGAAAGAAGGAGGTTTTGGTGAGCTAAGATTGCGCCTTTGCACTCTAGCCTTGGCAACAAGAGGGAAACTCTGTCTCAAAAAAAAAAAAAAAAAAAAAAAAAAAAAAAAAAAAAGAAAAAAAGAAAAGAAAAAAGAAAATGACATCATTTTCCAGATTGACTCGTCCTATTGTTCAAGACTTTTTCTGTGACAGTAGTGGAAGAGAACTGGATGCAATTCTTCAAGCAGGTAGCCTCTCCAATCACCAGTTAGCTAAAGAACTTAGAAGGGTTATGCAAAGGTGGTCGCTTGAACTAAAGAGGAAGGGAATGAGATAAAGCAGCAGCAGTGGTAGACAGATGCCCCACTGGCTTCACATTGTTGTTTCGCTGGAAGGACATAGTGTGTCATAACGAATTACCATTAATTTGAGCCAGCAGTACTGTTAGATTGAGCCTGGCAACCCAGGATGACAAACAGTGCCTGCAAGATCATCTAATGAGGGACAAGGCTGCTTCAGTTGTGCCGCTTCACTCAATTAGTGGACAAGGCTTTTAATGCCGCTCTGCACAACTAAAGCAATTTTGATTACTTAGAGCTAAGTCTCCATTTAGAATGTTTCGGAAGCTGACACAGTTTTTTTTTTTCCCCTTTTTAAATATAAATTATCTAGAGAGTATTTGAATGGTAATAAGCTATTTGAAAGCCAATCACATTATTCCTTATTTTTGCTTAAGTAATATTAAAATATATTTTTTAAAATTTCAAATGATAGAATTTACTCTAGCAAATGAAATGTAAATAAGATAGCAAATGATTAAGAATATTCTGGGGGTGTGTGTGTATGTGTGTGTGTGGGTTTGCGTGTGTGTATGCAGGCACTATGTGTGTCTCTCTGTGCCAGAATTACAGTTGGTGAATTTCACTTCATCAGCCAACATTATCAGGAGGGTTGCATATTTATTCTATATATCCACATTTTTAAAAAATTCCAGATCTTGCCTTCTTTGGCTGGGAGCACTTATATCTCATAGCTTTTGATATAGGGAACTGATGTTTCCACTTCATTATTTTTTTCACTATGTCACTGCATGAGGAAAAGCACTGATAAGTGCAGTGGTATGACTTATTTGATATTATGATCATTGACTTATTGCTCATAACTAAAACCTTACCTGCACAGAGGCTACTTAGGCCAAATAAATTCCTTCCATTCTCTTTAGAAACACACAGGGTGCATGCTCTCTCATTACACAGCATTCTCCCATCTTCTAGCTTTTTTCTATTTAGTGTGTTGAATTCTCAGACTAACTCCCCTGAGTGAAATTTTGCCTATTGAATTAGAAGGTCACTGGATTAAAGAAACTACTCAAGTGCTAGACACACAGTAGATATCCATACATTTTGGTTATATCGAACACAAATTGTACCAAGGTAAAAAAGTGTCAACATTGTGACGTGAACATACCCTCTGCTTTCTTTCCTTCACTCAGGTGGAGGGGAATGTCGGGACTGAAATTTAAGAACATAAATCTCTAGATATACCTGACCCATCACCAAAATCAGCTTGCCTACCAGTAATTTAAAAAAAAAAAAAAATCTCAATGCGTAAAGGAGGTCCAATACAAGCTGATTTTCAATAATACACGCAGTCACATCTTTGTTTTATAAAAGCACTATAACAACACAACAAATAAAGTCATGCAGGACAGAAGATTGGAAAAAGCTTTGAAATTTCAATAGTTTGGGGCTGCAAGGAAAGTCATTAGTTGAATAAATTAACAATTATCAGAGTTTTTTTCCCCCCAATTCGAGTTATATTTCACTTTCTTAAAATAATAGTAACAATGACTACATTCATGTCTTCAAAACATTTAACTCCAAAAGCACATGTTACACACTCAGGAGAGCTGGTTACACATTAGCAGAAAATCGTACATCATCGACACTGTTGGTGTGGTAAATAAAAATTCAAGGGGAAAAACAATGTGGTTCATTAGGAAGCAAGTAATCTTTCCTATAACAGTGTTATATTTGTAATGATTGTAATCACTTAGAAACTGGCAAGTAATTTGCAAAGATTCTATATCCCCTCTTCCCAGAATATATAAGAAATCACATCACTGACTCTAATTATGATTGCAAAAGTAGAAAAAAATGATTAATAGTTCCATTTATTCTCCTCTCTTGCCAAAAGGGGTACTATGAGACAGAAGGAATTCCTGTTAATTGCAGGAATCAAAGAAACATAAAGTTTAAGGATTAAATATAGTGGGATAGTACCAGTCACATGTACAAGTCAGTAGGATCAATCTCTTAAGTGCTTCCCTCCTGCACTTCTCTTTGTTCTTCAGGAGAGTATTGGTCTGAAGTACCATCAACAATGATTGCCATTTGGCTTTCCATCTAAGTTAATATCTAACATCTCAGATATGTTCTCATCTCTGATCAAAATTTACTTTTGAAACATATAGAATATTTGGATGGTTCAAAAAAAAGACATATCAAGGAAACTGTGGATTCACTTCCACCCCCATCCCTTTTATTCATTCCCACCCACACATTATACGTTCTTTTCTTTTTTTTTTTTTTTTTTTGAGACGGAGTTTCGCTCTTGTTACCCAGGCTGGAGTGCAATGGCGCGATCTCGGCTCACCGCAACCTCCGCCTCCCCGGTTCAGGCAATTCTCCTGCCTCAGCCTCCTGAGTAGCTGGGATTACAGGCACGCGCCACCATGTCCAGCTAATTTTTTTTTTTTTTTTTTAGTAGAGACGGGGTTTCACCATGTTGACCAGGATGGTCTCGATCTCTTGACCTCGTGATCCACCCGCCTCGGCCTCCCAAAGTGCTGGGATTACAGGCTTGAGCCACCGCGCCCGGCCCTACATTATTTTCTTAATTAAGTTTCATATTTCCTGTATTTATTTTTGCAAAAATAAGCAAATGTATGTATTTATTCTTATGTGCCCTTCTTTCTTATGCAAAAGACAGCATTCTATATATCTCGTTGAAGTTTTTTTTTTTTTAATTTCCACCTAACAATGTGTCTTGGAAACATCTCCATATTAGTGTGTAGAGATCTTCATTATTTTTTACAAGTGAATGATACTTCATTGCATGGACATACTTTGACAAGATGTTTATGCATAGAGATTTAGGCTATTTCCAATACTTGGCAATTGCAAATAATGTCACAAATATTTTTAAAGATCGTCATATGATTTTCAGAATACTGCTGGTGGGTAAGGTGGTTGCCTTAGTCTATTTGAGCTGGTATCAACTCTCTCAATGTTTCTGATATGGGAAAAGAGTAGGACTGAGAAACCTGAATTACCTTCCATGCTTTCACTAGAGCTCAGAGGTACTCCTAGTCTTTAATACAGATCTATGTGAACAGAGCTATTATGAAATGGTCTTGGTTGGAGAACAAGCATTTTAAGAATTTTCTGAATGTTTCTTCCCAAGACATTTTTGAGACCCAAACTTAACTTAAACCTACTGGAAGTTCTAAAAGCCTAAAGCCCAGAAAATATTTCTCTACGTGCAAGCACTTTTGTAGCAAGAAACAACTCTTAACTTTCTTGAAATTTAGAACTCATATTAAGGGTTTCAAAACAGTGATTGAATAAATGAAGGAATAAATCTACCACATCCAACACCAGTCTGACTCAAGAGCTTAGGGACAGCTTTCAGCAAATATAAGTCTGAATTAGAGCGCTGAAGGCAGGCAGGTGTATTTGGCAATAGTTTTTTCCTACTCTAGGAAAATGAGGCAGCCTGGAGATGAGGTGAAGACCATCTTTCCTGCAGTTCCTACATAATGGATGGGCGTGCATCCTGGTTTGTGGCTTGAGGCTGCTGTGTGCCCAGTAACACGCTCATTCTGTTGTTGTAACCCTTACAGGAATTATGACTCATGCTTTGAGGAAACAGTAGAGGTCAGACAGCAAGCCCAGAAAAACCTGCCAGCACCAAGAGGGAATCCTCAACAAGCGCCTGGGGGACATATTATTCTAACTGAAGGGACCAGAACTTCCCCAGGAAGGGAAGAAGAGAGAAATGCGGAATGCCTGTGTTCGCATTTGCCAAAAAACAAAAGTCTGAGAAACCTCTGAGAGACTCCACATGGGAAGTGAAATTTACCTTTTCTAAGACCATTGTTGATTTTCCCTTTACCCTTGAAGTGAACTGAAATATCACTAATGGTCAGAGGAAAGCTCAGAGGTTCTAATAAAGAATATGAAATAGATGAATCCTTCTGCACCAAGATTTGATTGACTGTTAATACCAGGTTTTAAAAATCACTTGTACCATTTATAATACAAACACCTGATTCACCTGCATTCTTTCGGCTGGGGGCGATGAGGGAACCTGGGGTGTGAATGGCCTCCTGAGCAGCAAGATCATTGCTAATATCAGCATTTTGCTGTCTCATCATCTAATTATCACATGCAGGGCACTAATCGAAGCACCTCATTTAAAGTGGGAAAAGCTTTGCTAAGGGCAGATGATTCAGCACAGTATCTTCCAATGAGTACTGTCATCTCAAATCCTTTTTAAGAAATAGGTATTGTGTAACCAATAAGGAAAATGAAAGCATAAAGTTTATTAGTAAGTTACATGTTCCAGTGTTAAAAGTCTCTGTAGTCACAATCATCCATTTTCCCCAAAACTGCCCTGTCACATAATAATATGCATATATACGAAACTTATTTCATGTTTAAAAGGCATCCCAGAGAGATGTGATGTGGATGGGTGTGAAGAGTGGATCTGGGGAAGCGAATGGGTGCAGATGTCTCCACTGACAAAGAGAAAGGCATATGGCTTCCTTCCTCCCTGGTGTGTCCGGGTCTCAGAGAGAGAGCTCTAGATTTCCCTGTGATAAGCTTCTGCTTTCGAGCTCCACTGGGAAGATATTTTGTATGCCACAGAAAACCAAGATGTTTGCATTCCCACCAATCCAGGGATAAAGCATTTTCCTCATACAGACACAAAACATACAGTATATGAATGTTTAATGGAGGCTAAAACTGGGAGAGGAACAGAAAACAAGAACAGAGCAGGTTAAAAAAATATCTGGTTTCTCTCTATCAAAATACTAATTAAAATTCATGTTCATGGGGATGATTATACATATGTTTTTGAACTAAAAGTCTAACCTGGCACTATTTTTTGGCCTTATTTTTGTGACAACATTTTTGTCCATATGGCATGAAGTGAATCACTTTACATCTTTTTTTAAGCTCTATGTGTTTTTCTTGTTGTCTATTCCCTCTTCTCCCACCACACACACACTGGCAGCCGCTACCAAGTTACCAAATGCCAACTCAACCCTGCAAGCTGGCTGCATGGAGCTATATAGTACTGGCATCTTCCTTTCTTTGCAGAAATATTCTGCGTGTGTGTGTGTGTGTGTGTGTGTGTGTGTGTGTCTGTCTCTCTCACACATGCATGCATGCATGCACCCCACATACATACCATTGAAGCACCCTGAATATTTCTTCTTCATTTTCATGCTAATCTTTCCACTCCTAGGGATTCTGCCCAGCTTCCAGTGTGTGTACGGCACTGGCTGTTGGCCTGCTGCAGAGGACCACACCAGCTTATTTGGTGCCTCTCACCCCTGGCCTTCCTTCTCCATCGCATCTGACAATTAGTGGTTCACTTAAGAACTGCTATAAATTAATGGTTAATCGAGCCCATATAATTAGTTTAGTCACATCGAAGTGCAAAATCCATGACTGTCCAGTGGTTTTTCACCCCCCACCCCACCTCTCATTTTAAAAATCACAGCAATCATGTTCCTACTTTTGTAGACAGGAGAACACTCCTTATCTGCGGTGCAGCCACACCGCCTGACCGCTTGGGTTGTGGATGGCACACGTTTTGTACATGTGCTGCCTCCGCCAGCATCAGGCACTGCTGAGTTTGTGTGGAAGGGCAGCAACTCCACCTAACAAATGTAACTTTAACAACAGTAAAACAACCTAATAGCTTAGCATGCCAGGGGGCTAATGTGGCGGGCCATTTACTGCTGCACTAAATAGCCCCGGTTTGATTCTCATTGCCAAGTGTCGAACTGAGAATTGCAAGGCAGGAGTAGCTCCTAATTCATTAGATAAAGGGGGTCATTGCTCATAGGGCTGGGGAAACTGTAGAAGCATAAGAAAGAAAGAAACAAGGCATTCCCTTTTCCAAGGCCATCAAAACCTGGGCTAACCATGGGCAGGAAAAGCAGAGGCTCCTATCTTGGCACTCATGCTAACTTCTAACTTTGGGTAAATGTGCTTTGTTTTGTAATGTTCATCTGGAAAGAAACTAGAAGGGGAAGGGAGCCTAATATTGAACCATGTTATTTATTATTTGTAAATAACGTTGACATCCTTGGAACAAAAGCAATAATGCAGAACAAAGTATGTAATTCAGCCTTGGCTGTAAAATGAGCCACTACTGACATGTCCCTGCCAGCTATTCCGCCTGTGTGCCCTGAAAAAGTTGCTATGTATGGTTGTGACCCAGCTAATAGGCTGGGCAGGAAAGAGACCGCTAGCAATAAAAAAGGGAGAACAAAATTCTTGTTAATACTGCTACATCGGATAATATTGTCTTTCTTTTTCCTTTTTATTTTTATTCCAGGCAGTTATAAAGAGTGCTAAGTTCAAACTGCCCTCAGTGGTCATCATAAGGTTATATGGACAAAACAGTTTCCCGATCTTTTTTTTTTTTTTTTTTTTAATAGAAAAGAGAAATCATCAAAAATTTCAAATGAGATCCCTAAAATGGGACATCTTTATTTCCTGAACATTAGCCCTAAAACAACTGATTTCTCTAATTCCTGCCATCACTCAGATTGGCCTTGAATTACCTCCCAATAGGCCTCCCATGTGCTTCTAGATGAGAGTGTGTAATGGGGGATCTGTTAATTAACTAGAAGCAAAGTTGCACGGTGGGGATCAAACACTGGATACGTCCTAAAACTCCCACAGAGAAGATGAAATGCAGCGCAAACTTTAAAGACTTCCCGTCATTAGCTGAGACCTTGCTGCTCCTGGCCCAGACCCCTCCTGTTTCTGAGAACAATGAGGACAATGATGGCAGAAATGAAATAGTGCAGCCAGGAACAAAGGAACTAGCTATTTACCGGTAGAAAAAGAAAGGAGGGAGGGAGGGGGAAGGGAGAACTTTCTTTTTCTGTGGTTCCTGTCTACTTTTAATTAATTTATGACTGCCAGGGAATTGCACAGAGAGCACACCCAAGTGCATTGTACCCCAGCTCAGTGTTAATATATGTAACATCTACTGTTTACTCCCAGAAAAGTGCAACCCGCTGGAGAGAGAGGGACTCTGAGAAAGGAGAGAGAGAAGAGGTTGGAATGAAAGAAAATGGACAAACTGTCACAGTGAACTTTCACAATGAAGATCAGGGTTCAAACTGGAAGATAATAAAAACAAAGGAAAACAAAGCTAACACCGTCCCGGGAGTGACATATCCCCTTAGATCACTGTAAAAGACAAGAACCATGCCCTGACACTAAACTAAATTTTGCCATTTTCAGAGGTTTCCTGGTAACTTCTGTACATATGCATAAACATCATGTCAATAGCAAAAGCACATAGTCATGATATTGACTTGTTATTCTTCCCTGCTTCTTGACAAAATACATCTAAAAAATGGCATTTACAATGGCAGCTCAGTAAAGAAACCTGACTATTAAAAAAAACCTGATCCTCATTTCGCATTCCCTGTTTTTGCAGAATTCAAATCAGGAGCTTTTCTGTATATCTACATCACAGGCTTCAATAGGATTGAGAGAAGAAATAAGAGAACCAACAAGATGCACAGAAAGGGATCTTTGGCCATCGTTACTTCATGTTGAAGCTCTTACTTTGAGATGGATCAGTAGCATGAAGATAGCCATTATTCAGAAGAGCTGCTCGTGCTCTTCAAAATCCAGTTAAAATGCCACACTAGAATTATTTTATTTTTAAACTTCGGTAACAAGGCTCTCTTTCCTGTTTTCAAGTGAAATATTTAGAATAATCATTGGGAACTCTGCAAATGGATGAAACAAGCAAATCCCTCAGGACTGTTTTGTGCCTGATTTTCTTACTTCTCACCTATCTAATATGAAGGGTTTAGATTTTGCTAAGCTCAATTACAAACTCAACTCTAGGAGGAAAGAAGTCCTAAGTGTATGGTTCAACCAACTGAAAATGCTATGCAATCAAAAGGGAGTACAGGCTAGAGGTTTCCCATTAGCTGCTTGTACGTTCTAACCAGTATTAAAGATTAACTCCACAACGAAGTGAAAGATACACTGTCAGTTACTGAGAAACTTATCTAGTGCCTCTACACACATACTCACAAAGAGTAAGGGATTCCCCACCACATTTTGTGATTGATACGACCATGCCAGTTACCAATGCTGATAGGGCAGAATGGCAAAAAAGAGTAGGAATGAAAGGGCCCACAGTTCTACCTCTCCTATCTAAAAACTAACTGTGTGTCTTGGAAAGCATTATATACTCTACTTGGTCTCAGTTTCCTTGGGGATGATAATTCTCCTGATGACTTCATAGGGTTGTTTCGAATGTTGAATGATATATATCAAAGTATTCAATAAGCCATCCATTTACTTTCAATTTGATGGTCCTCAACTGTTCCTAGAACAGTGCTGGAACCAAAACAGAAGGCATTCAGGAACGAAGAATCTACCTTAGGGTAACCAGTTTCTTTGTGATTTTATAATTATCTTCAAACTTTCTGAAAAAATTGTAACTCAATCTAGGAACAACCACCTTCAAAAATCCACTTCATATCATTTCATCCTGTCTTTCATTCACCTGTGTTTTTCTTTTTCCTCTGTCCACTTAACCGTGGTATCTTGTGAGCAGGCTTACAAAACAGTCTCCAAAGAGAGTAATGGCTTCCCTATTTTTAACTTCATTCATCAGTTTTCATCTTTGTTTATGTAACATTCTATTCATACAATATTTTCTAAAAATCTTTATATATTTGGATAACATTTCAGAGCTTCTGAAATGTGGGGATAACTTCAGAAATTTCCACTACCTTTAAAAAGAGTTCTGTAGGTAGCAGCGAAATCAAAGTAACAAAGATTAGGGCCACACTTATGGCTGTAAAGATGTAAGAATCTCGGCACACAGAGAAATTACTAATACTTAATTATTTCAGGATTCAAGTAACCAGCACTAAGAAAGTAAATCTATTCCTAAAAGAAGGAAGA